CAGTGCAAGTGGAATCTCAACAAGCAATGTGCATTCCGATACATACAAAATGGTGCTTTAACGCGCAGGGAAGACTTTAGATACAAGCCCTGACCTGACCGGGACTGAMTCCTATCACGTAGTGTAAGATAGCGCAGCAGAATGCTAGAATATCAATGACTAGCCCAATCACTGTTGCACGTAGACTAAACATACATCATCATCATCACAAGGTGTGAAGAAGCCTGGCGCTGTACACGCGAAGAAGGCGCCAGACCCTGATCATGCACAGACGAAGAGGAGGGGGAGAGATGGGAATGTCGTCAACACCAAGTCTTTGTCACAAGTCCCAAATAATCCCTCGTYAAAATGTCTGAAGCCCAAATGTCGAGTCTGGATCCAATGTCACTAAGCTCTCTCTTTCTCTCGTAGTCTGCTGATGCAGTGAAGTCASATACCGAGAGGGTGAGAGGGAGATGGTGGACTGAGAAGAGGAAGAAGAACAACTCTCTCTCTCTCTTATGCCAGGTRCTAACCTGTGAAGATGGCGCTGTGCTGCAGGTACCTCGAAGACGAAGCTGGAGCAACGGCGCTGCAGGTACGTATCCCTGGCCTCTGCCCAATCTCTCTCTCTCTCTAGTACTACTCTAGCTATGGCGCCCAGCGCCGAAGACTACAACTAACGCTTCTAGCGCCCAGCGCTAAAGACCACTACTAATGCTACACTACTCCTGCAACGCTCCTCCAGAGTGCAGCTGAGTGCTGCTGCCGAATCCTGAAGACTACTGACTGCCTCCTGCCCTCCCCGTGAAGTGCATGGGAAGTCCTTATGTACTACCTCGGCCTGCCTCCTGACTGCCTCCGACTGCCTGCAGTTGCAGGGCGGGCAGTACAGGAGGCTGCTGTTGCCAATGCCAAACTGAGCCAGGGTCTGGCGCTGCAGCTGTCGTGGGAACAGGCCAAAAATAGCCTGTTCCTAGAACCCTGGTTTGGTGCCTGCGTTTCAGGGCAGGTCGGTCTGATGAGAGACCGAAAATGGCCCTTCGTTTCAAGCTAAAAAGGCTACTGCCATTTTTATTCTGAAACAGCACAGGGTCTGTAGGCTCCTGTTTTTCAGGCTTTCGAGCTGAACAGACACGGGGCATGTAGCCCCTGGTTTTCAGGCTTTCAGCCTGAGGGCCACAGGGCCTGGAAAATGGCCCTCGTGTGCAGGCGCAGCATGTAAAAGTCTGTCTGTCTGTCTGTCTGTCTGTCTGTCTCTCTCTCTCTCTCTCTCTCTCTCTCTCTCTCTCTCTCTGTCTCTCTCTCTCTCTGTCTGCGTGTGTCTCTCTCTCTGTGCATTACGCAGGGTGGCCACGTGGCGGACTGAACTTCGCACGTGGTTTGAAATCCCGCAGCCACTCATCCCTTTCTTCCCAGAATGATGCTGAGACCCATCCCGTTCCCGTTCAGCATTCACTGGCGGGCAATCAGGAGACGATGCATCAGACAAGTTATCATCGGGTTCGGGCACATCACCCCAATCCTGAAGAAGAAGATTGTGCAATATGCCACACGCTTGGAACTCCAAGCCTTCCCTTGTGATGTCAGTCACATGTGGAGGGTAAGTGAATTGGAATCGCATCTTGAAGACACCAGAGAAACTCTCCACAACAGATCTAGCTATTTTGTGGAGCCATAAGATTCTGCTGTTGGCCGTATGGAACGACGAGCCATGGGAGACTGGGATACCCCCCATCACCCAGCAAATACCCGTCGGGCACACTCGGGATAGACGGCCTCTCCGCACAGAATGGGTCTGTTGGGTCGTCTAAAAACAAGGCCCCCTGCAGAGCTTGTTTGTACATGGAACTGAGGGAAGAGTGCTTCAGCGCACATACATCGCCGACAGTCCCAGGGAAACCATGGCACAAGTCCAAGATCTTCAACTCTGCGTCTTCCATTAATTGTGCTACAATGGAGAACTGGTTGTGTCTGCGGGAACAATACTCATCACCGTCTCTCGATCGGGGTTTGTCCATGTACACGTGGGTACAAATCAATGCACTCCCAACAGTTTGGGAAACCAGCGTCATCCAAGAGAAGAGATGCATTCAACGGTGAGTGTTACGGACTTCGCCAGGGCTCGATCCCTGGTCTATCTTTTTCTGTTTCGGCTGCATCCCGTTTTCGGCCTGGCACCCTTTTTCCGAACCCCTCCTTTGGTATCGTAGGATTTTGGACAACTGGCGTCATGCTGCAATTCGGGCGCCACTTTCAAATACTGCATTTTTCAGTTCTGCCCTCGGGGCCTTTGCAGAAATGCCCCTAGTATCGTACGTGTCACCGGTACTTATACCGGCTCCCCGTACGGTACGGGGCCTCAGTCTCGTACCAGTTCTCTGCTGCTGTACTCGTACTCAGTGTGACTTGCTGTTTCGGCATTCGGAATCCAAAACTTCGACTTTGTTCCTAGCCACTGTGTCTGCGTCCGATCCTCAGTCCGAGTCCGTCGTGTCGAGTGAGTGAGTGTGTGTGTGTGCTCTCCCTCTCTCCCTCTCTCTCCTCTCCCTCGGCTCACCCTCAGCCTCACGCTCGTTACACTGGTATCGGAGCGGTTCGAACCCGCCCGATCCACCCTACTTTGACGTCGTCACCGGCCATCATCAACATCATCGTCGAGGTCGTCGTTGCCGTGCCACGTCATCATCGTCATCGACGGGATCGCCGCTGTTATGCCACGTCATCATCACCGCGCCCATCGTCCTCGTCGCTGTGCCGCGCCGTCCTTGTCATCGCCGTCATTCCCGTCGCGCAGATAAGTAATCAATGACAGTTTTATTTTTTTATTTTTTTCTCCTTCTTATTTTTTTCTTCCTCGTTTCTTTTTTTTTTTTTTTCTTCTTCTTTTTTTCATCATCAAATTCTTCTTCTTCCTTTTTCTTCTTCCTCCTTTTTCTTCTTCTTCTTTAAATTTTCTTCTTCTCCTTCTTCTTTTTCACGGCCCTTCTCTCTTTCCCGCCGCGCTCTACTCCTTCGCGCGTTCTACTTCTTCCCCGCCCGCGCCGTTCCTCCCCCTCCCGACACATTTCCCCCCCCAGGAA